CACACACACACACACACACACACACACACACACAGAAATGATACCCCTGATCTATGGAGAGTTCAAAGGCCACATACAGCTGGGCCTCTGCCATGTACCTTAGCCAGCAAATGCGACAAGATCTATAGAACACTCTCTACCTGTACTGGTCTAATTGTATTAAGGTGGGAAGGTTTGGCACAATACAAAAAAAGATGACAGTCCTAAGAATAACTACTACAAGGAAGGAATCAGCAAATTCCTTTCCTCATTTTGGTGAAGAATAGTCCCACTTGTTTCATTATTTCCATTTATGGCACCTTCTGGCCTGGCACTGGAATGCTCTCCAACCTGATTTCATCTGCAAGCTCTTTTTACGCAAAGATACCCATCAGTACATGGTGGTTTGTTCTTTGGTTAGCCAGGTAAAAATCACAGGTAGATGATGATTGTTAAACTGAGCATCAGGCTTGCTGACTGAGGTGAAACATAATATCTAACTGTTGTACCTAGAGGGAATTTCCTGGGAGCCTTCTAAAGTTAGCTGGAGAAGATTCACAGATCCCCTTCCTTGATTTACAACTGGGGTAGACAGCTATGGCTCTTTACAACCTGTAGACTTCAACTCCCAGAATTCCCCAGATTGCCTAAATTCTGGGAGTTAAAGTCCACACTTCCTAAACTTGCCAAGTTTGGAAAACACCAGTCCGCAAGCTTCTATAGTGCCCGAGAAGACCTTTCTCCTGGAGGAAACAATTTGGAGATAATCACTTAGGTAACCCAAGAACCAGGAGGAATCTAAAGGTGATTAGTAGACCCCTCAATTGATTTTCTTCCATTTCTTCCCGGGGTAAATTCCAATCTTTAGCCAGGAATGGATCTGACTTCCATTTGCATGGCATCAGGATATGTTTAGGTAGAGATGTGTGAATGGACTTGCATTCTTGCCTTGTCTGCTGGCTTTGTAGATTGTGTTATGTTTCTGGAACTTTCTCCGCCCAACAAGCTATGGATAGATGAATGTACACTACTGATTTTTCATCCACACCTGAAAGATCCTGGTCTTTCCTATCAGCATTCCTTACTGCTGCTATCATGTCATTGTTTGCTAAGCAATGGTTGGGTCCTCTTTGAACTCCAGGATGGCAGGAAATGGAATTTTTTTTTCTATGAGTTTACATGGTTTCGGTTTTGCATTTCAGCCCGTGTGTCATTTTGAAATGAAAACTTTGACTCAATGGTCCTAAGATTATTTTCAATCAGTGCCTTAATGAGCCCCAGCCCAGGGTCTTTACCATCACTGGGCCTGAAAAGCCTTCGACCAGACCCTTCTGTTCTTCTGTCACGACTGGCTTTCTCAGAGGGATAGAATCAAGATCACGTGGAGTGTTAATACCACTTTATAATCCCTTGGTAAGACCACGCTCGGAATAATGCATCCAGTTTGGGTTGCCACGATGTAGAAAAAGATGTTGAGACTCTAGAAAGAGTGCAGAGAAGAGCAACGACGATGATTCAGAAACTGGAGACTAAAACATATATCTGTAAATAGCGGTTGCTGGAAGTTGATATGTCTAGCGTAGTGAAAAGAAGGACTAGGGGGTGACATGACAGCATTATTCCAATATTTGAGTGGCTGCCACACAGAAGACAGGGTCAACCTATTCTCCAAAGTATTTGAAGGCAGGATAAGAAGCAATGGATGGAAACTAATGAAGGAGAGATGCAACCTAGAACGAAGGAGAAATTTCCTGGCGGTTAGAACAAATAATCAGCGCAACAACTTGCCTCCAGAAGTTGTAAATCCTCCAACACTGGAAGTTTTTAAGAAGAGATTGGACAACCATTGGGCTGAAATGGGATAGGGTTTCCTGCCTGATTAGCGGGTTGGACTAGAAGTCCTTCAAGATCCCTTCCAACTCTATTATTCTATTATCATTGTGGCTTCCATACATCTTGGACAAGGCAGTTGATAAAGTTGGTAAGAGCTACATTCCAAGCCTTCTAGAGGAATTATCTGCAAAGATGGCTTTCCTTTGGAAGGACTCCAGACCATTGGGAGGTAGTAGAATTTAAGGGAAGTGACTCACATCATCTGGACTTTAGCCTTTAAGATATGTTGGCTTCAATTCCTAGAATTCCCCAGCCAGCATTTATTTATTTAAATAAATAAATCTCATTGTCATTGCGACTCTAGTGGCTTTCATCGTAAAACACAATTAAACACTAAGTATTAGAATTAACTCATATTAGATAACTTAGAAATAATAAAATACAATAAAAGTAGTTCCCAACTTTAAAAAGTTCATTTGGTGACTGTTCAAAGTTGCAACGGCATTGAAAAAAGTGACTTTTTGTCATTTTGCACACTTACAACCTTTGTAGGTGTGATCAAAATTTAGGCGCTTGGCAACTGACTCTCACTTATGACTTTGGCTTTGCCCCAAAGTCATGTGATCGATCACCTTTTGACAAGCAAAATCAATGGGGAAACCAGATTCACTTAGCAACCGTGTTACTATCTTTATCAACTGCAGCGATTCACTTAACGACTGTGGCAGGAAAGATCATAACATGCGGCGAAACCCGCTTAACAAATTTCTCACTGAACAACAAAAAGTTGGGGGTCAATTGCGGTCATAAATCGAGGACTGCTTGTTTGTTATATTGCGTATTTTAATGAGTTTTGAAAAAAAAATGTTTCTCATTAAATTAGCAACAAAATCTGAAAGCTGAGCTACTTCCTTTGGTATGTTAGCTTTACCCAAAGGAGAAAACTTAAAAAAAAAAAGATTATTCATTTCCTACCGTTTGAAGGAGAGCAATTTGCTGAATTATCTTTGGGTTTCCCCCAGCCCCCCCACCCCCTCCGTGCTGGTTGATTGTCATGAGCCGGCAACTTTGGAAACAAAGGTGTGTGAGTGAGTAAGGCTCCAGAATCCAGAAATAACTCTTGCTTAATTGACCTTGAGCAAGCAAACCAAATGGAATGTAAGCTATTTTTCCCCGTCACAATTTGCATTGTTTGATTAGAGAAGCTGAAATGCATATCAGAAGCCCTGTTGGCTACTATAATGAAGAGAAATGATTTTCTTCCCTGCTCGTCTTTTAACCTTCCACTTTACCAGATTACCTCAGGCGGAAATTTCCTCACATAGCTAACCACAAGATCAGAATAACAATTATGATTTTGGAGGGCGGGGGAGACAGGGGACAGTGCAGCTGAATAGTTAGGGCTGAACTGGAAGTGGTAGGAGCCACTTTCAAATATGCCCTAACATGGTTCCTGGGGATGGCATCAGAGAAATCATGGTTAGTGGCTTCAACCACACAAACAATTTCATTTTATGAGATGTAAATAGTTTATAGTTTATTTATAGTTTATTTATTTGTATGCCGCCCTTTTCCCTGAGGGGACTCAGGGCAGCTCACAAGATAGGGGAAGGGGAGGACAAAACAAGTTATGAANTGTGTGTGTGCGTGTCAAACAACCACAACAAAAAGGGGGGCATTGATAAAGGCACAAGTAAATGTGAAAGTAAAATGGAGGGAGGGAGGATGATGATTTTTCTACACCAGAGAGAGATTTAGCAACGATTATTCTAAAACCGACAGCACTGGCCAAGGTCTGTTGTTTTAACATCTGAAAAGTTGCCCAGCAAGGGCTTAAGTATTTCCTGTACTGTTCTCCACCCAGTTTGGACCTAAGCCAAAGCCTGCAGCATGTTCCAAGGATGGACTTCTTCTCCTGTAGGCCCCTGCTTGTGGGGCCGGCTCTCCGGACAGGTTCCTTCTCCTGGTGGAGAGCCGGCGAGTGGACAGGCTGGAGGAATGTTCCAACAAGCAGTCCATGCTGTTGCTTCGGTCCAGTGGCTGCGTGGGGAGGCTTGAAATGAAAGCGCAGGTGGATTTGAAAGTAGCGCACGAGCTGCCGCCGTATTTCTTCCCCTTCTTGGTGAAGGGTCCTTCCCCGTGAGCCAAAGGCTTTGGAGAACACTCCCCCTTTGAGCAAGAGCTCATCGGGGTGGCCGTGCAGCTCTCCTGCTCTCCTGAACTACACTTTTTTACCCTGTATCCCTCCTTCGTACGTGTTTGCTGAAGCTCACTAGTCCTTGCTTTCTCCTCCACGCGGATGCCGCTTCGAAGTGGCGAGGTGGCCGATGGAGGAGGAGCTTCGTGTCTGTTGGGGGTTTCTTTGCCCCATGCTTTCCGAGGGCTGAATTCAGAAGTGCTACCACCGAGTTCAAAGTAGCTGGCCTGCAGGGACATCACTGATCCATGCCCCAAACTGGGGTGGGTGCTGGGTCTCGCCTGGACCATTTGGATGCCCCCAATGGGGATCATCGGGCAAGGGCTCCTGGGTAACTGCTGGGAGTGCAAAGGGAGATGACTAAAAATATGGTCTTCCACTCGATCTGATGCACGAATGGGCCCTTGATGGAGTGATGGCAAAGGTCTGAAATAGAGATGTTGAATGATGCCCGGCGAAACTGTTGGGTTCCTGGACTCTGTCTTCTGCAATGACAAGAGGCATATAGAAAAGTCAACTCTTTTAAGTTGGTGCATACAGGGGTGGACACAAAATGCTTTAATAAATATAAANAAATGGATGCCCAGTTGGATTCATAAATAGATGCACAAATTGTGGATCCATAAAGGGGGTGTGCGTAAGCGCAGCAGCGTGCCTACCGTCCCTGGCTTACTGTCCCCACTTATTTGTACTCATTTCCTTTGTTCATGCCCATGTTCATATTTATACCTGTTGTCTTGTACATGTTTGACAAACTAAATAAAAGTAAAAAAAAAATAAGAAGAGGAGATTGGACAGCCATTTGTCTGAAATGGTATAGGGCAGGGGTCCCCAAACTTGGCAACTTTTAAGACTCCTGGACTTCAACTCCCAGAATTCTCCAGTCAGCTATTCTGGGAGTTGAAGTCCACGAGTCTTAAAGTTGCCAAGTTTGAAGACTTCTGGTATAGAGCAGTGATGGCTAACCTTTTTGCCATCGCATGCCAAAAACAAGGGGAGCGTGGGGGGTTGTCATGCACGTGTGTGCCCACACCCATAATTCTACGCACCGTCCCCCCTGCACATGTGTGAGCAGCCCCCACACATGCATGTGTGACACCCCCCCTCTGCTCCCCTTCCTTTTGGCATGTGATGGCACGGTGGACCAGTTTTTCAGCCTCCCCAGACTCCAGATTCTTTCTAGGTGCCTGGGGAGGGCAAAAAAGGCTCCCCCCCCCCAATGAGGCCCTCCAAAGGCTGAAAACTGCCCATTTGCCGACTTCCGGTTTGCCCATTGGGTGGTTTTTTGCTCTCCGGAGGCTTCAGGAGACTTCCCTGAAGCCTCCGGAGGGCAAAAAACAGCCGAATGCACAAACCGGAAGTCCGTTCCTGAACTTCCAGTTGGCTGGTTTTTTGCTCTCCGGAGGCTTCAGGGAAGCCTCCAGAGGGTGAAAAACAGCCAACAATCAGCTGGCCAGTGCAATGCCTCGTGTGCCCTCAGAAATGGCTCCGTGTGCCACCTAAATCATGGGTATAGGGTCTTCTTCTTGAGCAAGGGATTGGACTAGAAGACCTCCAAGGTCCCCTCCAACCTGTTATTCTAAATTGCATTGCAAATTTCTCAGATTCTTCAAATATTGTGTGGCGAAGGAATTGCAGAATAAAGTTAAAACAGTTCCCTGTAGGACATCGAAGGGGTGGTGGTGGTACCCCATATTTCAGTTAAGCAAATGACTGCCAGACAAACTGGAGGTGGTATGTTGGGATTTTAAAATTTATTCCAACATGCTGTTTTTTAAAAAATAGGCTCAGACTGATCAGACAGCCCAAACTGTAGTAAAGGCAATATACGTGTAAAAACTTCTTTCATTCACAGTACAGGTGTCATTTACAATTAAGGGTCACAAACATCAAATGCTGAGTAATTTCTTTCTTTTTTTAAACATTATATTCTGTGCTTTTTACCTGCATTTTTTTGCACTTTTATTACCATACAGACATTGCAAGATGCAAATGTAGAAACTGAAATAAAAATTACAGGCAAAACTACCAAATTACACTGTACTCTGAGTCTGTACATATTTACAGTACCTTTTTTGGAATGTATTGCCATTTTTTTAAAGAACATATAGAAACTTTCTAAAGACTATTCCACTTACAGAATACATACACCTTTTAGAAAAAAAAGGCAAATATTTATCTTACATGAGACCATGTATATTAAATTTGAGTACACATCATCAATATTATTAATATTTTACATTACATTTACTAAAGTGAGCATAAGTGCCATAATATTCAAGACTGAAAACTTATTTTATGTCATCATTAGGACCCAAATTTGGTATTTTCTAAAAAAATATTTTACCTTTTAATTCACAAATACTGTGCAATAACAGGACGTAACCAAAAAAAAAGTTTTTAAGGAATACACACAAAATCAAGTTTGGGAAAATTAAAAGGAGGGAAAGTATTGAAATAGACAGAATAGAAAGAGGGCTAGATCCAAATGCTTCACATTTAGCTCAGAAATGGTGTAACAGCTTCAAAACACTATATACTTAGTGCTTCTGGAATTTCTATAAAATAAAATAAAATAAAATTTGACTTAAATAGAGAGACCTGGGTGCTAGAAGGTAGAACTTTTTGCTAAGAAATAGTGAATGAGTTAAATATAATTGCTCTGTTTGAACTGAACATAAAAACTTCAGCTCAGCATGAGGCTCAATGTTTCCGTTCTCCTCCAATTCAGTTGTAAATAATTTATTGCTTTAAGCCCGCTGCTGTTTTTCATGCTCTCCAAATCTGTCAAAATTATGGCTGGTTTTAACTTAGGCTATATACTCAAAATGAGCCAGCATGAAACTAGGGTGTGTGAAGGTTTGTTTCAGCAAAACTTTAATTAAGATTAAACACAGGAGAAGGCCCGGATGCTATCTCATACACTGGCTAATCTAAAAAGTGACATTCTGGAACTCCTCCTCGTGACCGCGTTGGAAAAGAGTAAGGATAAGGCGCACAAGCTCGAGATTTGCTGACTGGACTCACTCATGATTTACAAACTACAATAAGGAAAACTCAAAGGAGGGGTGTGGTGGCCTATAGGTGACGCTCTGGCCTCACAATCAGGAGGCTGTGAGTTTGATCCCAAGAACAGGCAGATATTTTTCTCTCTGGGCACAGAGTATGTCTGCTCCAACAAAACTCTGCATTGGCAACAGGAATGGCATCCGGCCACTAAAAACTCTGCTAGATCCATTCAGTTGCCCAGACTCTGCCCCTCAAGGGATTGTGGGGTCGTTAAAAGATGACAACGGATAAGGAAAACTCAAAACAAGTCATCTTTACGGTCCGGCATAACACGTGAAACTGCTCCTTATGTTTTATTTCTTCCAAGCCAAACTACAGGTAGTCCTCAGCCTACAACTTTTCATTTAGTGACCAAAGTTACAATGGCACGGGAAAAGGTGATTTGTGAACATTTTTTTTTTTTACATTTGTGACCACTGCAGCATCCCCATGGTCACGTGATGCTTGGCAATTGGCTCAAATTTATGAAGGTTGCAGTGTCCTGGAGTCACGGGATCCACCTTTTGCAACCTTCTGAGAAGCAATTCAATATGAGGAAGCCGGAACAACTGTGCCATTAGCTCAACAACGACAGGGGTTCATTTAATCATTGTGGCAAGAAAGGTTGCAAAACGAGTCAAAACTCACTTGACTGTCTTGCTTGGGAAAAGAAAATTGTGGTCGTACTTCAAGGACTACCTGTATGAAGACACGCAGCGATAGTCCAAATAGTTAGGGAATGAGAAGACCCGAGGAACAGGTTACTAGAAGCAAGAGTGATGGTAATCCAGTGGATTTCATCATGCTTTGGTCACCACTGCTGGTACGCTAAGGGTATTTTCCATTTACATTTACTGAGAAACTGCAATCATTTTGATTTCTACACAGAAGTGGGCTTCTGACAGTTCGCCCACGATTGGGCCAACTGGTAGTGGCAGCAGTGGGAGGCTCCGCCCACCGCCCGGACACTTCTGCACATGCGCAGAAGCTTTTGTGCATGCGCAGAAGCATCACGCGAGCATACATGCCCGCACGAGTGAACCAGTAGTAAAATAAATTGAAAGCCACCACTCCTTCTACAACTGTATCATGGGGACAATCCATAGAGGGGGGGGGGATGCCATCATCTTTTAGCCATTTTTACAGGTGAAACAATAAAGTCCTCTGACTGTTTGGTATTTTCCTGAAAGGCAACTTGAAAAAAATAAAAGAGACCCACGCTATCATGGATGAATTTTCCTGTATACAAATCGTACCTCTAAATATGAATCACTCTTACAACAAAATCTGGCTTGGTATTTCATACTTCGTCCACACATCCTATGACACACATTTCAATTAACTCAGAGACCAAGCCTCTTTCGAAAGAATGGTCTTTCCAATAGACAATATATCAAAGGGCTTGAAATGCTGCTTTTCAGAGGTGGCAAATCTAGTAATTAAATCACTTTGAAAACATTCACACATGTCCATTCACTTTCAAGTCATCGGCAGGGATTTGGAGGGAGAATTATTTGCCCTGCAGGTGAATAGAAGCAGGAGGGGGCTCTCCAAAATACCGATGGAAATACTCATGAGCTAAAACACGAATACCATCCCTGCACGCTGATGAAACCCAGGAATCAAACGTAAAGATCTTTGCAAAGTTTGGCAAACAACTATTCTTTCTTTTTCAACCAATAGCTTGGAGGGGTGGAAAATCTAGAGCCATTCCACAGAACCTGTCTGATTGGATAAATTAGGGATGCCACAAAAGTTATCAATTCATTTCACATTTAGAACAGGTTAAAATGGCCTGCCTCTAACTGTGGAGCAGCTGTCTTGAGCTCAAAACTGGTTTATTTTTATTTATTTTTAGCATCAAAAAGATTCCCTAAACTTTATGCTTAGGCCAGCTTGGGTTAAAACAGTTTATTGACAAATCGTATTTATGAAATGAATGGTATTTACTCTGAAATAAATCTTAGGATGCATGGCTTTGGAGGTGTGTGTGAAATTACCTCTAAAAAGACGTTCATAGCAATGAGATTCTGTTCAATTTTCCTAGTCTGAGATGATCAGGGCCAGCTAGTCACATCTCCAAAATCTCCTAATAGCACCACAATGCTGTGATTGACCCAGTACTTGACTTTTAATGGGGCGGTTTTAAGTGCTTCTAGTGAAGCACTTTCTTAAGGCTTTGCTAGGTCAGCCTAGAGTGCTCAGCACCATACATTTGAGCCCTTATTGTGTTGAGTAGCTTGCCATCAGGGAAGCTAACTCCATCTGGCCAACTGATACACTCAGTTGGCCAATAAGAAATGCCCTAGAGACCCAGAAGTTTACATGGCTGGCAAAACAAAGAAAAAAGTGATGGGAGCAGACTGCTCTCATTGGTTTTTCCTCTATCACAAACACACGTCTTTAGATGGCCTGTGATTAAATAGCCATAGCACTTAAGACTTATGTACCCCTTCACAATGCCTTTACACAGCCCTCTCTTTACAGCGGTTTGCAGAGTCAGCAGATTGCCCCCAACAATCTGGGTCCTTCTTTTACCCATCCCGGAAAGATAGAAGGCTGAGTCAACCTTGAGCCGGTGAGAATCAAACTGCTGACAGAGGGCAGAATTAGCCTGCAGTACTGCATTCCAACCACTGTGCCACCGTGGATCATATTGGAAAAATGAGAACTCCATTAACAAACAAGTCAAGCTGAGACCTGCTTCTGTGTTTACAATGGACGCTCTAGGCAAAAGAAGGCTCATCAAACAAGTTAGAGGTCACAACTTGGTGGCCTTCCGATATTTAGGATTACAAGCCTTAACAGCCCCCCCTGCTATTGGCCTTGCAAACTAGAGCTCATGGGAGCTGAAGCCCAAAGCAACTGGATGACGTATAAACTATGCCATGCTAAGGTCAAAGTGAGGCTGCTGGCAGATATGCTGGTAGAGATATCTGGGATCTAGGCAAACATTAGTTCTTAATCAGGAAATGAAAAGGAGGAATTCAAGTAGAGCCTTCTAAAATGCGAGAACAGGTATTACAAAGTTACAATGCATTGCATAGTGTGTTGGCTCTTCTGCTATCCTGTCTATGCTAGGAGCATTGTGGTCCCAATAAGAGATCTCAGGATTTGCCTCCACAAACCAAAATGCCCTCACAAGCAACATACAATATATACACACACCAAGCCTCCTATCGGTGGACAAAAAAGTTTGCTTCCATCTGCAGAGCGCTAAAGGGAGAGAGAGAACAGCATCGGAACGAAAAATAACCACACCCCAATGATTAATGTTTACCTCTGGGGAAATCTAGATTTCCACCACAAATCATAGAACCCGTTGCAAGGTAAAAGAAACGCTGGGTCTAAAAGGAAAGGAGGTGGAGACAGGAGAAAGCTAGGAAAACAGAGAACCCTGAGCATTGTGGTGCATTCGATCTAGCCCCCAAACGAAACCAGGCACAGTTAAAGCATGAATGGATCAAAGATGTGAGCGCCTCCAATCGTGGCTCGTGCACACTTACAATACTGAAAACCATTTGGTCCATCGAAGAGCTGCGTGGGAAGCAAAACTGGAGAAGGAGGGAGGGAAATGAAACGACCCAGGAATTCCAAGCCTCGGTGGAGATGAAATACTGTTGGTCCAGCAATTGCCACAGAGATGATGATGATGCAAAGATTGCTTCTTCAGTGTCGGATCTTCTGTCGGTTATTGGGGATCTTCTGAAGGCAATACAAGCCAGTGCCACTTTCTGTTGGTTGGTTGGTTGGTTGGTTGGATCTATTCTAGTTAATCCAGTAGTCGATGTTCGTCCCAGGAAAAAACCGAATTGAGACAGCCCCCTCCCCCCTTTCAAAGTCTTGCAATAGATGCTGGATTTCAGTGCAAACACAACAGCACCATCAANACACACACACACACACACACACACATACACACACACGGGGAGGGAATGGGAGAAAGGGAGAGATTCTCCCTCCCTATCTCTCCCTCCTTCTTCCTCTCTCTTCTCCAAAGCAGGCAGAACTTGGGGAAATGATGGCCTGAACTGATCTCTTACAGATAAATCTAGCTAGGAGCAATTTGCAGCTCAAAAGCCACCTTTGCCCCCAATCTGTCTCAAATCAGCGTTGACAACTCTAAAAGGAAAAAAAAAATTAGTGCTGTGGAGACAGAAGCTCTCATAATGATGGCGGTGGAGGTTGTGTTCTACCAAGAGGCCACTCATCGAAGACGTTCCCATCTAACCTGTTACAACAGGAGTCAAATGTTCCCCCAGATGTTCTGCCTCTCTACTCAGCATCAAGAATGGTGTCTAGGGGCGAGCAACCAAGACCCTCGAGCGGATTCACACCACAACTGTCATCATCTCACAACCGTGGTCAATGCTTGGTGACTCTGGGTATGGGCACTTCATCCCAGCCATCTGGAGAGCATCAGGTTCCATCCCCCCCAAAAGGAAAGTCCCAAAATCTTTACCTTCCTCTGGTTCCAGCTCTCCCGGTGAAGACGCCAACACACCCATCTCCTGACATTTTTTGCTGTGGGCTTTTGACTTCATATGTTTAGTCAAATTCCCTGCAAATGAAAACAGAAGAGGCACAAGTGGTCAGTCGTTGTTGGCAAGCGACACGCGGCAACCAGCAATGTTTAAATCAGCAAGCAATGATTTACATTCCAAGGCCAGGAACAAGAAGGCCACCGCTCTTGACATCAAGCAGCTGGCTAATTTGTTGTCTGCTTCTCCCAATTACTACAGGATGGCTTTTCACAACTGCTAGCTCTCATGCAAGGCAGAAAAAGCCATCAGGCACATGCTTTGCCAAAACAGGGGGAGCCCTACTCCAAGCCTTTCCCTGCGACATGCAGAAGAGGCAGGGGGATACTGGATGCTCCTTGCGAGAGCGCATAAAGCAGAGATGGCCACATCATGCCTTGGGGTGCCAGGTGGCTGCAATTATTATTGAGGTGANAGAATGAAAAATAAAAAAATGGGGGAGGGAATGATAGTTCTTGATCTTAACCCAGGCAACATCCATTTCCAGGTTCCTGACCCACCCTTTTGTAAAGCCAAGTTGTAAAAAAACGGGGATGGGCCAAATAGGGATATTTCATATGGCCAACGATGTGAGACAACAGATGTTGCAGTGAAAAAACATCTGTAGCACCAGATTTTACCCACCTCTGAGCACAGCTTACCAGTTTAGGGTCTTCATGCAGCTCCATATCTTTGTCAAAGGACCTGTGAGGTAGAGGCACTGGAGATGATATCCCATGCGGAGATTTACGTAAGCTTTGTCCTTTTTCATTGACTGCCACTTGGCTACGAGAAGGCATATCCTCTCTTCCTGGGGATGGATACCGTGAAGGTGGCTCCGAGTAGCTCTGGGACAGCATTTTCTTCAGAGATAAGTATCTGGATGATGGCGTTTCTCTGTTTGGAGAGATGCATCTCACCGGAGAAACCCCTCTTGCTGGTGGAAGGTATAAGGGGGACGAGAGCTCTCTCTTTGAGGAAAAGTATCTGCTGGGTGAGATCTCAAGTCTTGGTGATGAATTACAGAGGAGAAATGACTCTCTCAGAGATTGGTGACTGGAGGGCATTTCTCCAGTGTATGACATTCTTTTTGGTGAAGTTTCATTTTTGGTTAACGGATGCTTTCGAGCCAAGGACCGGTTGTTTCCACTACTGCTAACCCCAGAGTCCTTGCCTGGGGAACCTTTCCTGCTAGGCGTGATATCTTTGGAGACGGACAAATCCATTGCTAAGAGCATCTGCGGTCTTCTAACAGATTCCTTCTCAGCTGAAGTTGAGAGCGCACTGGAGGACAGAGCTGGTCGGTGAAGTCTTAGCAAGCTGTGGCACACAGCAACTTCACAGCTGTCAGCTGACCATTTCATTTCAGGCTCTAAGGAGGCAGCCTGGGAACACCAAACAGTACTCTCGTTGCCAGAGGGAATATCTTCCACGGTGGACAAGCTTGTCTTGGTGCCTTTCTCCTGGGAAGAGAGAGAACTTCTTGGAGGGTTCCCTGGAAGAGGAGTGTTCTTCATTTCCAAAGGCTTTCCAAGTGATTCCTCTTGGTTTTCCTCTTCCTCCTCTTCCTCGTCTTCCTCCTCGTCCTCTTCTTCATCATTGTCATCATCGTCATCAGACTCTTCCAAGTCTGAAAACTGGTGTTCAGGTAACTCAGATCCCTCCTGTCCTTCTGAATCTTGGAAGAGATCTTCAGTGGTTCCTAAAAAGGTGGAAGAGGAGCAGAACAATTTATCAGACAAGGATACATAAATACGTGTGCACATATTCATATACACACGTATGTAGAAATATCAAGACAAACATCTCCTGGGAGATAATTGGAGGGAACTCCACAATGTTCTGGGTTAATGAGGAAGCACACTTCAAAGATACCACTTCTGCCACTAATACAGATTTTACCTATAAAGGTAAAGGTTCCCCTCACACATATGTGCTAGTTTTTCCCAACTCTAGGGGGCGGTGCTCATCTCCATTTCAAAGCCGAAGAGCCAGCGCTGTCCGAAGACGTCTCTGTGGTCATGTGGCCAGCATGACTAAAACACCAAAGGCGCATGGAACACTTACCTTCCCACCAAAGGTGGTTCCTATTTTTTATACTTGCATTTTTACAT